GCGTTAGTGCTTTTCTCAAAGATTCTTTCTCTTGATAAGCTCTAGTATCTTCTTTAATTCTGCTGAGAACAGAAACAGAAGCTTGAAAAATCAGTAAGGAGACACACCACTTGTTAGATTCTTATTTCATCATGGTGACTGCGCAAGAAGGGAGTGTTCAGTCTCTTCTAAACTGAGGGCTTTTTGGAAAAAATAAAAGCAGATGTTAGGGATAATTACAATTTCAGAGCTTAACGTTACAACAACTTTTATATTTTTTTCCTATAGAATTAAAATTTTGCAGCTTTTTAGGAGATGAAAGATAAGTTTTAAAAACAGATAGAAAATATCTAGCTCTTATCTCTCGCTCCCACACTACCAGTTCAGAAGATTAGTGGTCATGAATATAGTAGTTACTTTAGCGACACACTAACAGTGTAACAGCTAGAGTAATCATGTTTCCCCTGTGTGTTCTCCTCTCATATTCTGAAGCATATTAGCTATAACATGTGCTTTCTGATATCTTGGACTTTTTTTTCTTCATTACTGAGAGCTTCATATTATCGAGGAAGTACTGTTAGAGTCCTAAGCTTTATTTGATAGTCAGACACATATTTACAATTTGCCAGCCTTTCCCCAGTGAGGCTGTTGAGAAGTGAAATAGCATTGGTTTTTTGTTTGTGGTTTTTTTTTAAGCAAAGCTGTCTGCTGAATGAAATCTTTTGGATCGTACCTTTTCTCATTAATTGAGCTGTGAATACTTTTCAACCTTCTTGGTATAATATATCTTTTTATAAACTTTTTTTATACATTAGTATTTCACTTGTGGTTTGGAGTCTTCATTTGTACTTGCTAAACCATTACACAGTTTAGTGGTGTCATCAGAGCATTTCTGCCTTTTTTGTTTAGGAAGATTTTGAGAGAAAGTATTTGCGTTACGCAGAGAGAGAGGGGGAAGATGAGTATTTTTATTGGGTTTACTAAAAATTGCATTTTAATGATGAAAACACATGAATAAAAACTTACATATCCTATTTAATAAGTTATGAAATATCCTTCCTTAAATCTTTTTCTGTTGTTTTGAAATGTGAGAAATCTGGACACTTACTACAGAACTTTCTTCTCCGAGAAGCTTTTACATCGGTGTAATGTCCAGAGTACAGACCTGATGAGTTTTGGGGGTTTTGTGGCTTCTCCCAGAAGAACTTGTTCCTCCCCAGAGCTTTGCAGGAGGCTGCATTTGGCTCTGAGGAGTCTTCTGGTGTGCCCTGCTCTGAGTCAATGGACCACAGTTCTTGACAGGAGTCTGGCCACTGGCCAGAGTTGCACAGTTTGAAACAAATTTTAAGACAGCTTGCTGCTGGAATAGTACTTTAAGTGGGTGGTGATGTGTACTAATCATGTATTAATTTCTGTACCCTAATGCACTTCTGTCTCCTCTTACAAAGGATACCGTGATGCAGAAGTTGGTTGGATACAGACTGTAGAGGACCTTCATGAGAGGGAAACGGAGAAGATGGATTTTTCTCCTTTTGGAAATGCACAAGGTCCAAGCAGAGTGGCTCAGTTCCTTGTGATCTATGCTCCAAGGAGAGGCATTCTGGAAGTATGGAGCACGCAGCAAGGGCCTCGGGTTGGAGCCTTCAATGTGGGGAAATATTGTAGGTAAGAAACAGTTAGCAGGTAGGCATATTGGCTGTGCTGCTGCAGTAAAGTGATATGTGGATACGCCGGTGGTAAAAGTAGAAAGTGCTGGCAGGTGCTTTTTGCCTTGCCCACAGTGTTTCTGCTGGATGCAGCCTTTTGTTATTGTTTTACAGAAGGGGATTTTGTCATGTTTCGTCACTCTACAGTCTTCCTGGTAAACACATTTAGCAGTTGTTAAACCTTAGCTTTATAAAATTTGTCATCTTTTTACTCAGTGTGTGGAAAGAGAAGGTTGCTAATTTTGTTCTTCACTGTAAAGGCCGTGGGTTTTTTTTTTGTTTCAGATTGTTGTATCCTGGTTATAAAATAATGGGTCTAAACAATGTGACCAGTCAGGGATGGCAGCCCCAGACTTACCAGATATGCCTTGTTGATCCAGTCTCTGGAAGTGTAAAAACTGTCCATGTACCTTTCCATTTAGCACTGAGGTAAGGACTTTCTGTGCTCTGTATAACCAGATGAATTTCATTATTGTTTTTGGAAACAATGTTTTATTTAGAGGGAGCAATTCTGGTGTTCCTTCTCAAGCTGAATAGTACTGTGGTAACAGCCTTATTGGTTTGTATGCATTAACTTGATTTTTATTAATGTGATGTTACCTTAAAGTAGCATGATTAATTTTTTTTTCTGAATCATTCACTTTAGTTCTTTTCACTCATACAATTAAAATTATTTCCCTTCAGTGATAAAAAGAGTGAGCGAGCAAAGGATATGCATCTAGTGAAGAAGTTAAATGCTTTACTCAAAGCTAAAACCTCAGATCCAGGTAGGTTCTCTTGTATAATTTCTTAAGATTGTATGTTATCAAATGGTACTTGTATTTTTTTGTCCTGTAAGCGTACAAACAAGGTATGATTGTGGTGCATTCTGACAGCTGTGTGTGCTATGAATTATGATCTTTAAGTAGCTTGGTTTTTTTATAAGATACCAGATTAAATTTCTCTCATACAAGGACCCAGTATAAGCCTTGTCTGCCATGTAAATCTTAACTAAATTCTACTTTGAGTGCTTGCATAAAACATGGTCTATTTGCAACCCATTACGCTATGTAATGGAATTCAGCATTTGCCTCTAGATACCCTTCTTCCTGTAAGTAATATATATTACTTACAAAAGACAGATTTGGAGTAAGAGATGCCACTGAGCTGTTACTTTGTTTCATTTTCCCCAAGCTTGTTTTGGCAACTTTTGTGATAGTGTCTTCATCTCTATAGCATGAACCCATGTGCATCTTAACTGTGGTATGGGTTGACTTGCTTTTCAGAATGCATTTGAGAAATATAAATTGAAGTCATGATTGTCTTTGTTTGCAGATTTGATTGAAGCTGAAGCAAAGGAATTAATACTTGATATCAAATACCCTGCTACAAAGAAACAGGTGAATATTTAGAGGCCAGTATACTTTAATATTAGAAAAAAAAATAGTGTTATCAGATTAGAGTGCTAAATCTTTTAAATCTTTCAAAATATGTTATTTTTTCCTAGAGTTACTTGAAGCAAACAATTGAGCTATTCTGGGTGTGTGTGTTGTTTTTTGTTGTGTGTTGTTTTTGTTTTGTTTTTTTTACAACATACTGACTGGAATTAATTTTGACTTGTGACTTCCCCAAGGCATCTCCCATGATAAAAGTCAAAATAATAAACAGAGAGCAGACCTTTCTATAGGATCAAATTATGCCACAGGTATATGTGAAGACAAAATACAGATGAAAAATCATTGTCAAAGTTGTGCTTTGTTGGCTTACCTTATATATTTTTACAGTAAAATTAAGTAAATGTTTAATTCTGTTGAACGTCTGCTTAACAGGCTCTGGAAAGTATATTGACAAGTGAACGTGTGCCACTTTCATCTCTCACAAACATCACTCAGACATTAATGGATAATTTAAAAAAACAGGGTAGGTGGATATTTATTTTGCAAATATGGAGAGGCATTTGCACTTTGTCTGCAGTGCTGTTAAGACTATTGTAGAACTATTCTGTTCCACAGGGAGACCAGACCTGGTCTGCTTAGTTTTGCTGCTAGATACCACAGGATGTTGCTTCTACATTTTTTTTTTTTAATGCAGACTGCAAATAGCTCGCTAGTAAGTATGCTTTGCTATGCCTGCTATGTGCCTGGTAACTTGTGATTATATTCAAAAAGAAAAAAAAGTCAACAACTGGGCTGGGTACTTGCATCTGGTAAAAGCTTCCTTCAGAAAGAAGCTTTCACAGACTTTTGCCTGTAGAAGTTTTAGTTTGTTCTCTCTCTTCAAGGAAGGCAGTAAGGATATGGCACTTTGGATCTGTGAACTTTAATGTCTTATCACTGAGAATCTGAGCCTTGGCCAGATGCCTAGTATCTTTTCTTGGAAAACTTTGCTGAAGTTACATTTCATGTGTTTTACTAGAGATTTCAGAGCCAAGGTCAGGAAATTTCATTACCCATTCAAAATTTTGTTGCTGAAAGTCTGCAAGATTGTTTCTTTGAAATGATACACTTGGATCTTTCTAAACTGGGAGAACCTTCTTTGTGCTTGAGGTGACCCAATTTTGGAGACCCAGCTGGGTATTGAGGAATAGAGTGGAGAAGCATGTGCCTGCCACTTCCTTTGCACGTGTTGGGACTTCTCAGCTATAGAAGTCTGCTTTTTTTTTTTTCTCTGGATTCATTTCAGCTTGTTAGAAGATGAGGCTTTAGCAATAAGAGTCAGGAAATCCCTACCACTGTTGTGTGGAAGTTCTGAATAAACCATTTGTCAATTAGAAATGCTGTGTCCCTTGTCCTACCTCAGTGAGAACGTGACAAGTTTTCGTAGTTTCAAAGCCTTGAGAGGAAATCTATCTTTCACTTTATCAGCGGGGTTTTTTTTTTTTTTTTACCATTTTCTTGAAGTAGATAGAGGAGATTGAGAGCTTCACACGTGCAGTTCCCTACGTAATTTTATTCTGGCATTCTAAATCACCAGCATTAACCATTTCTATTAGAACTCCTAAAAAACCAAAGAAAAATGGAGACGTGCCCTTTTACACTGAAGAGAGATTGACCGAACTGTATACTTACTGAGGTCTCTTTGTTTGAGTGTGTATTTTCATCATTAATCTCTTATTGTCATACATAACATTATTTCCTCACAGTCACAATAAAGAACAAACTTGGCTGATGTTCCAGCCTTCTAATTTCAGAAGGGTAGTGGCATATCCTTCCACTTGTGCTTAGTAGGTAAAATATAATGTGAAGCAGGTGCTGGGCTCTGTGAATGCTGTGGTTGCAAAGAAAAGGTCAAGTGACTGTGCAGCAAGCTCTGTGCCTTTCTGTGGTTTTTTTTTGGTAGGATTTTTAATAGCAATGTATCAAGTGTTTAAGGGTTTGTAGGGAGAAAATAATGTTTACAATATATCATCAGGTGAAGATGATATATTCAGAGATATCTTCTATAGAAAGGTCCTTTTAGGATCTCTGTAAAATGCTTTCTTTTAAAACAAATAAGTTGGATTAGAGATTTTTTTTTCAACATTTTGTTGGTGTTAGCTTCCTATATTCTGATTGCTTTAATTGTTACTGAAATTTGAATGTCAATAGGTACATGAAATTTCTGAGACTAAGATTGTAGAAATACAAAAGGCAGTGTCTTGCAGAGATGAAATTGAATTCATATTGGTAGATATCAAGCTCTATTCTGATGCAAGGAATATGCTTAAAATATTGGCATAATGAATAAAAGATTATAGTTTGGTATTTAATTCTTGATAAAAGAAAATATGTTTGAGACTTAGTGTATTGCAATTTTCGGCAGTCTCTGGTTTGGCCTTAAACCAGGAAAAGACAATAGATTTGTCATTTGTTGTCAACCTCCTTCTGTTTAAAAACGAGCCTGATATCTTTCTCTAATACTTCTCATAAAAATAATTTTGTTTTATACTGCCGTGAATTAAATATCATTGCAAGCAGCAGTGCATCAAAAAATTGCACTGAGAGACATAAGTCCTCCAGTTCTAATAAAGGAGGAGTTTAACGCAGCTGCGAAGTATGTTTCACTATTCCAGGCGATATATCAAGTTCAAATACAGTATTATTTCTCCTCAGAGCTTGAGTGTGTGGATGAAGGACTACTGCAGTTCTGCGCAAACAAGTTAAAGCTGTTACATCTTTATGAACTAGTTAGCAAACTAAATTCCCAAAGCATACAGAAAGACATTCCACCCTCAGATAACGTGAGTAAATTCAAAATTCACTTGTCTTATAGAATCAAGTGATGAATTGAGCATAAATATATGTTTTTCAAGGCTTCGGATAAAATAAGTAGGTAAGCAAGTTACCTGTTCTTGTGGCCTGGAACTTTTAATAAAGTAATTGTTTTATAATGCCTTTTTTTTCCCCGAGTACAAATGCCTAGTAAAGAATATTAGGTAGATTAATTAGCAGTCACATAAGGTTAAGACAGAAGTGAAAATAGAACCAGGATCTCCTGATTTCAGTCCTTTATCCAAAGTACATAAAATATTCTTAACTTTGTTTAGTTTTTGAGGGGTATTTTGGGACCAGTAGAAATTACAAATTGTGATATTTGCTTGTGTAGCATCGTAATTTGGCTTGCTTTTGATATCATTTATAAAAATGCTTATACATTTATAAAAGCCGTATGGAGTGGTGTTATATGGGCTTGTTTGCTTGTTGGGTGATTGTTACACTATGAGCAGGATCTAAATATGGGAAATGTATCTGAAGTCCTTAAAAATGAAGCTAGACAAGATCTTCATTTGAGCTATATGAATAAGTGAGATTATTCAATCATTTTGGCCCTTTTTAAAGACATTTTTAATGTTCAAAACAAAATATTTTGACTCTTCTGACTTTTGTTTTAGGCTTTACTGTGTTTTGAAAAACATCCATTTGCATTAGTCTTGTGATGTGCGATTTTTCGGGCCTTTGTTTTTAAGGACTTGGCTAAACTGCTTCGCCTGGAAGAAAAAGATTTTCACAGGCTCCAAACTTTACTGGAGAACTACAAGAAGGAAAATACCCAAACTACCGTTCAGTTTGCTGATGAGAAGTATGATGTATTGTCTGTGAAAACGTTCTTAGAGTATTTGGAGTATGAAAAGGATGTGATTAATGTGAAAAATATGGAAGATGGAGAATATGTGGCTTTAGGTAAGAGCTACTGAACTGTTTGTCAAATTATTTAAAGACTGATTATAATCTAAGATGGTATAAATATTTTAGCCTTAATCTGGGGGCCTTAACAAGCTGGCTTGCCTTGAAGTATTATGTGACAGTGCTAGTTCCAGACTCTTGCTTTAGCCATAGGATGTGTCTTTCTACCTAGATGGATATTAATACAAGTTAACCACATCTGTGGATATAACTACCCTAAAGCCATGTTATCACTGTTCGTTTGTTTATTAACGCCACTAAGTTGGACAGTGGTAACTAGGTACTTTACAGAGCAGCTGCATCCTGCTGTGTTTTGTGGTCACAGCACTTCAAGAGTTCACTTAATGACAGGACTGACTTTAGCCTCAGAGATGGGGAGCTGACCACAGGCAGCACAGGACCATTAGGTGAGGGAGTAAGGACCCCTCATTTGTGGAGTTGAGGAGATTTTGGACAATGTTGATCTGAAATATTATGGATGGGGAAAGTGTCTGAGGTGTCTGTTGGGGTGTGGGAAGGGGTTACTGTCTGTAGTTTGCTTTAGTTTTCAAATCTGTTCCAGACTGTCCTTGAGGGGCTCTTGGGAAATAACTAGTGGAAGCAGCTTGAGTTAAATCTGTCTCAAAGGCACTGTCTTTCCAGATGACTTCTTTTCTGGGGAAATTTTGGTGCTAACACAGAATTCTGTGCACAGGTGTTGTATGGTGTTCACTTTGTAGCCTCCTGCTTCTTTTGGCTTTAATGGTCAGACTGAGAGGAATTGGGATTGAAAAATTAGGCAGAAGAGCTTGGATTTCATCTGTATGAAGATCAAAGGCTGTTTCTAAGTAATCTTAGAATTTGCATTTTCTCTACCATAACGCTATACTTGGTTTTAAGAACTGGGGTAGAAGTACTCTTCTCCCCACCCCTTTGGACAGGGATCACCAGTAACTTATTAGGGTGTTCAGCGGTAAACAAATATAATTGAAACATGAATGTCATGCTAAGCAGTTTAGATGGTTTCTTGAAGATCTTGTTTTTCCAATTTTCCTCTGCCTTACAGGGACACTCACACTTTTTGTAGTGCTGGTAAGGTATGAATTAGGTAATTGGTTTTTTAATTGCTTGAAGTACCACTAGTTTGCTATATAAGATACAGCATGCTGCCACACAGTTATGGGTTACGCCATGCACAAACTTCTCTGACACTTCAAGCCATTCTTTGAATTGAACAAAATGTATAATCCAAGCAGTACGATAACCTTTGTTTTGTTATGAATCCATTTTCCATATGACTCCTGTAGTGGTAGGAACACTTATGTCCTTTGTAATGAACCTTCTTCTCCGCTAAGGGTAAACTGTCAGGGTATCCTGGATGTAACTTAGTCCTTTGTATTGCACTCAGTAGGACCTGATCAATAGATGATCTTTCCTGTAAGTGTAAGAGGAGAGGCTGTGGCTTTAGATGTTGTTCATAATGTCAACTAACTTTTGCTTCAGGCAGCTTTTTCTTCTGGAAGTGTTTGTGTGGGGAGAGTTCCACAGAGGAAATGTGTCATGCATTGGAATCAGCAGGGTTTAGCCCTCAAATCTTATTGGTAAGATATTTATTACATACTTCAAAACTTTGATTTAGTATTTTGAAAACAAAATATCGGAAGGAAAAATTCTGAATGTTGACCTTTGGATTAATGCTTTATTCAGGCTGTGTTCGACACCCCCACATTCAGTTCTCTGGGTGCTGATATTTATATTCCCCACTTAAGAGATGTCAAAGAAACAAAAAAAAAGAGAAGAAAATCTTCTAGTAGAAAATGTGGGTATTCTAGTGAGAATGTGTAGAGTATGCATTTAGGACTACAAGAAGATTTGCTGAAGACTTCTACAAAGAAGCAAAAATTATGAGAATAGTTAATTTCGGGTACTGACACATTTGTTATAATTCCTTTTTGCAAGCAAGGAATTTTAAAAAGAATTAAAATTAAATTTTTCAGAATAGCTAGTAGTGTTCAATCAGTCATCTTTGTCTTTCATCTGCATGTAATTTTAGTCTTTTGCTACTTTTCTTCCATCTACTACATAATGATGGAAATACCTATTTCAGTATTACATGTCTGTGTGAAGATTTTCAGCTGTAATATTAATAACTACTAATGTTTACCAAGTTGTGATTGCTAACGTACTGATATTAGCTGGCTGTGCCTTCAAAAGAGGGTGTTTTCTAAGACAGCTTTCTAAATGAAAGATACAGATTGTATTGTTTCATTTCAAAGTCTGTCATAGGGTGCCTTATGCAATATATTTTTAACTTTCTATGTTAATATAATAAGGGTTCATGGATATAACATTTCTGCTCCATGACACAAAATTTGTTTGAGAAAGCGTTTGCATTAGGTGTATTGCAATATTAGAGTTTCATTCTGTTGCTTTTATTCCATATTCTCTTTTTTTACAGTCACTCCTTCTCAGTTTATGGCTTTCCAAGGAAAAAGATATTCTAGACAAACCAGATTCTGTCAGTTGCCTTCACACTATGCTGTCACTTCTGAGCAAAATGAAAGGTGAAATGTGCATTTGGAACACTTAAACACATCTGATATTAATTATTATTAGAAATTTGCTACTCTGACTCACCTATATTATCACTTAGTTACACACACATACACACACCTTCCTGTCACAAATGTGTAACAGAGCTAAATGCTGCATGTTGATGAACTAACTAAAAATACCATCAAAATCTGAAGGGTGTCACAATTAAAGGCCACCTTCATGCTGTGCAGTTTCACCCTCCGCTAAGTTGACATAACTCCTGTTTGGCACCAGAAAGTGGCTGTCCAGCTCCCCTTCCTCCCTTTTTTTGGGTGTTATAGTTCTGCCCCTCTCCCTTGTGCTGACTGGCTCTCAGAACTCTGAGTTGCTTTAATTCATTGAGGCACCGTTATTCTAGCAGCATTTGTATATTGAACATCTCTGTAACTTGAGGGGTACTCTAGAAAGTCAACTTGCCATTATTTGAGGTAAGTTGTGTAATGAATAAATACTGATTCTCCTACCTCACACAGCGCTGCTATGGATATGTCTGTGCCAGGTTCCCTTATGCCTGGTTCACCATAGGGCACCATTACCAGCTTGAAACTGGAAGCATGAATGAGCTACTGCTGCTGTCTGAATGAATAAATTCTGCTTGAACGCGAGGTAGCCTGCAGAGAGCCAGCTTGAGTGGATTGAATACATGTGGCATCTTGAAATCGCAAAAGAAGCTGTCTGCATTGTGAAGTGTCACTTTGTAATATTCCTTAAGTCTAGTAAGCATGCAGCAGCTTTTACTACCTAGTGATTTAGATCTGGTGCCTGTTTCCTACAAATGAAACTTGGAGAACAAGTAATTCCTGTTCCGCTCTTTATTTTAAATTTGAGTTATAATCTAGAAATTATATGCTACGTATCTAGAAGAGGATAATGTAGAGTAATTGGAAATTGCTCCTCGTGTAAGCTGTATTAATAAGTGATGCTTTCAGGGCTGGTTGCTGCTTTACTAGCGCTAATACCCAGTGACCCAAGCTGAGTTTCCTTCTCTCCCTTTCGCGACAGTTGCTATAGATGAGTCATGGGACACTCAGTCAGTTTCCCCCTGGTGGCAGCAAATGCGTACAGCTTGTGTTCAGTCTGAAAATAATGCAGCTGCCTTGTTATCGGCTCACGTTGGACATTCTGTAACTGCACAGATAATTGACAGTGTGACAGAGAAAAAGGTAAGTCATCTCGGACCTCCCCCTTTTATTTTATTTCTGTATCAGTTCCATGCAAATTGCTGTCTTTGTAATGAAATAACATCCTTGGCATTAATTTGTCGTCATTCTGATGTGGGCACAAGCATGCCATCCTGGAAGCCTGAAAACTTGTATTTGAATTTGAGGAATATTATGCTGAGGTGAATGAATGATATATCAGAATTGTTTGCTGAACATACTTAAATTGTGATGGGAACTGTACAGTGAGTTTTTCTCTTAATAGCAGATGATGTTGGCAAACTTAAAGCCTATGCAGTTTCCACATAAATTTGAGAGGTTCACTGAACTTTGAATGGTAAACCTGTTTTAATGCAGTTTTGATTTTTTTTTTTAATAGATTGGTGAATTTGTTTTAGCCCTTACGTTACTGTGTTTTACTTCTTAAGGTGATGGGTGGTTGGTTTTTTGGCAATAAGTATCTTTTCACAAAGTTGCGATTAACACTGAAACTCCACACAGCATTGCCACTCAAAATGGAGGAAGTTATTACATTCCTAAATAGCACTAGGTATATTTGTATTTTACAACTTGCCTTAACAGATTAGATGGGGCTTAAGTGATGTTCAGTCTTGTAAATAGACTGCCTTATAAATTATAACTCGATATTACTGGGAAGTGTTTTAGTATTTTTGCACATTCACTTTAACTATTGTAATTCTGTATATTAAAATTGTTAGTGTTGCCCAAATAGGAATGTTGGTAGGTTGCAACATATTATGCTTTACCCATATGCTCTCTCCTTTGTCACCTTCTGTTCTGCTCTTAAAAGAATAAAGCAACAGCTTTATTTCCCTCAAAACTTCCCTTCCATAAAGCCATTTGTCTTTCCCCCCTTTTTTTTTCCTCCCATCCTTTGGCTTAAAGCCTAAAACTGTTAATGGCCAGGCTTCTGAGAACCCTGGAGTTTGCCGTCTTGGTGCACAAAGCTAAAAATCGGATCTGCACCCTACTGGAAAGATTCTTGGGCTTCCTGGCAGAGCGTTTGCCGATAAACATGAGAATTATTAAAATAATGCACAGAACTGTGATGTGGTGTGATCCAGTGTATCTGGGTGCATGATATATATTTTTTAATGTGGTAGGAAATTGAAATGTAGGTGGATTAATCATACCTGTAGGGAATGTGTATATAGTGGAGGACTTAGAATTAAACCTTTTTGAAGGGAGTGTAACTCACTTTTCAACTAAAGATGAACTTTAAAATGGGACTACAAGATGACCTTTCAGGTCCTTTTATTTCCTTATGGTTTTTGTTTAGGAATCCGTGCATCTTGTGAGCAGTGTGGGATATTAATTGATGTTTGTATGATAGTTAATGTACATATCTTGAGCTAAATTATTATTTAAAATGCACTAGCTTTTAGGATATAGCTTTTCATTTTAATACTATGCTTTTTTTTTTTTAGACAAAACTGTGCTACTTTAAGTGAACAGACCTAAAACAGTTCATATGTTCTGTTAGTTTTCCCAAATAATTGTAGGTTCAGACACGGAATCCTGGGAAGCACTTTCCCTTGATACTGAATATTGGAAACTTTTGCTGAAGCAGCTAGAGGATTGTCTGATACTTCAAACACTACTGCATAGCAGAGTGAGCAAAAGGACAAAAAGAGTTTCATCACTCCAGACTGAGCCTTTGGGCAGGCTTTCTGTAAAGAAATTGCTTGAAGCTGGAAAAGGTACCTTTTTTTTTTTCCTCCTGGAAAGATGGTCTATTGTCTTTCTAATAGACTTCTGAGCCATCCTTACCTTAACTTATGATATACATTGCATTGGAAATTGTTCTGCTGGTTACTTTTCTTAATTTAAAAACCAATGCAAACCATGTAGAAGAGCATTTTAAAATTTTAAGATTACTACTGTAAAGACTGCATTGTAAACCTCTAATCAGTTGATTAGGAAGTTTTCTAATTGGCAAAGTTAACCTTATGTAATTAACGGTATTAGTTAAAACTCCTATCGCTTCTCTTGTCCTTTGATTCTGAACCATAAATCTTCTGGGATACATTGACTATACCTCATAATTTTATTTTTTTTTAATGTCCTAGGAGGTATTGCTGACACTGTAGCGAAGTGGGTTTTTAAGCAAGGCTTCAGTCCTCTTGTACTGAATTTGGCCCAACACAAAACCAATATAGATAGTACTGAAGAATCTGTAGAAATGTGTGCTAATATCTTTCTTGAGGAACCAGAAGCAGATGCAGGCTTGGAAACAATCCTAGGTAAGAAAATAACATGGATTTTTCAAATTCTGAATGTCTGCAGAGATGTTTTAGTTGCTACTGTGTGAAGTAGGAGAAATTATAGTGGGAAGAGGTCTGTCTTGTAACTTCAGATTTTCTTTTTCTAGAGCTGCTGCAACTAGCATATCAGCAATTTCCATGTAGTCTTGAAGTGGATGTACTCCATGCACACTGCTGTTGGGAATGTGTAGTGCAGTGGAATAAGGACCCAGAGGTAAAAGAACTTCATTTGTGGGGAGTAATGGTTAAGACCAACTCAAGAGAAGCAGTTTCACAAGTTTGAAATAGTTCATAAAAACTCTTGTTAAGACGACTGACTTTGAAAGCATGCTAGTTAAAATTTTTCTGTGATAAGTGGCAAGAACAAATTGAATTGAGAAAATGAATGCAGGTCCTGAGGCTGAATGGCACCTCACAAAGACAGGACTGTGTTTCTAAGCTATCAGAGTCTCAAAACTGGAAGTGTGGAAACTGGATTCAAATAAGCAGCATGAGGAAAGGTTTTGACTGTATTTTGTGCAAGTTCAAAACAGTTTAAGTACTGCAAAATAGTGATGAACCTTTCTTCTGTTCTAGATATGCTAAAACAGATCACAGAATACTGAATGTGTTAGACTAGAATCCATTCCCTTTAAAGAGGAAAGAGACTCCTTGAATATTCTTAGATTCCCTGGCCACTGCTGGGAATTGTCATAGGAGAAGGAAAAAAAAAAAATAGTGATGAACCTTTCTTCTGTTCTAGATATGCTAAAACAGATCACAGAATACTGAATGTGTTAGACTAGAATCCATTCCCTTTAAAGAGGAAAGAGACTCCTTGAATATTCTTAGATTCCCTGGCCACTGCTGGGAATTGTCATAGGAGAAGGAAAAAAAAAAATATTCTTTTTTCCACTGCTCTATAGCTTCTCTAATATTGGAAAAATGTTGTCCTAAGTTCAGATGATATTAAAATTGAAATTAGCACTCCTTATATCTGTGCAACATAACACCTTGCTATAGGACAGGTTCCTTTGAGATTGTTAAAAACTTACTCCATCATAACGAAAGGGAGTAAAAATTGATCTTTTTAGCACAAATGGATTTTGTATTTGAAAAATGACTGTAGTCAGTGGAGGGAGGTACCTTTCAGCAAAGAGTATGTGAGCAGTACATATACTAAAACAAAGCCCTGGAAATAGTGCTGAAATCGCAATGTGAATCATGATTACAGAAACATACATGCAGGTGGCAAAAGTATGTTTGTCAGATAGTAGCAGAGGAGATTGCAATGTCAGAATAACTTACAAGCTTTTTAACTGTCAAAAAAGAGTAGCTTTAAAATAACCTACCTGGGCCCTTTAAGAATCAGTAGTTTACATTTAAAACAAGTTTTGAATAATGTAGTAACTTGTTCTTTTACTTTTTTGTTTTACATAAGGAAGCATGTTTTCTCATTAGGTCTATAGATCATCTAAGATGCATCATTAATGCTCACGTTCAGCATGGTAAGTATGAAGCTATTATTAAAAATGATCTTTGAAATTGTAAAACAACAGAATAAATGGCTTTGTTGACTAGTATAAATGTATGCAGTTCGTAGTAGTGATGGCCATTTTTGTCTAAAAAACCAAAAACCCAAACAACCCTAAAACTTTCTGCTGACATTCAAGTTTTTGTTTTTCATGTGAAAACTGAGTTTCCGTCAGAATGGTGAAAATAAGCTGGTTAGATAAAGTGAATGTGTTTAACTAAAAACATTTAAAAATAAAATTGCTTTGAAACTGTTTTTTTTATTTGTATTTAAGTAGTGGCACATGCTTCTTGCAGTCAATTACTTTTCATGCATTTCATGCATTTCTTGATCCTCTGTTTTAGTGAATGTGATGACAACTGTCTTTTTTTTGTAGACTATTTATGTATGCAAATAAGGTGCACTCTGCCTAAAGCACTAGACTGAAACCTGCATGCTTACCACCAAAGTTTCTGTGTACCTACAATGTTTAACCCAGTCTGCTTAATATAATAATTTTAACGAATGATTCATTGCACTTCTGACTGTATTTGATCACCAAGGTAGTCTCCTCCTGAGAAATCTGAAATCTAAAGTCCAAGTATAAAGCAGTGGGGATAACCCCCAATTCCTTTTTGTTTCATTCACCACCTTTTTTTAAATTCCCCACCTGTTAAAGGAACTTTGGCCCATGGCTTTTCACTCCATACTTGTAAGATCCTGGAGTTCACAAGTTTGTGATTGTTCTAGGTATCGCTCTGATGATGTGGAATACATTCATAGTAAAAAGGCTTTCTTCTGCTACGTATCTAATGGACAAGGTGAGTACAGTATTGTGACAGTATTTTTGAGGCGACTTTTTATTATTAACTGAAAAGTGAAACTAGTATTTTTAAACCATCCTTTTTTTGGTTTGTTTTTTTTTTTTTAAAGTTTGGAATATTTTTGATTTAAGCATCAAAAAACCCCTGCTTATTTGGTTTATTACATAGCTAACTTTTGGAATTGAAGGAATGTATATTTTAAAATATCAAATCCATGGAACGATCAACGATAGGCAGCTTTAAGTACATAAAAACTCTTGTTAAGACGACTGACTTTGAAAGCATGCTAGTTAAAATTTTTCTGTGATAAGTGGCAAGAACAAATTGAATTGAGAAAATGAATGCAGGTCCTGAGGCTGAATGGCACCTCACAAAGACAGGACTGTGTTTCTAAGCTATCAGAGTCTCAAAACTGGAAGTGTGGAAACTGGATTCAAATAAGCAGCATGAGGAAAGGTTTTGACTGTATTTTGTGCAAGTTCAAAACAGTTTAAGTACTGCAAAATAGTGATGAACCTTTCTTCTGTTCTAGATATGCTAAAACAGATCACAGAATACTGAATGTGTTAGACTAGAATCCATTCCCTTTAAAGAGGAAAGAGACTCCTTGAATATTCTTGATTCCCTGGCCACTGCTGGGAATTGTCATAGGAGAAGGAAAAAAAAAATATTCTTTTTTCCACTGCTCTATAGCTTCTCTAATATTGGAAAATGTTGTCCTAAGTTCAGATGATATTAAAATTGAAATTAGCACTCCTTATATCTGTGCAACATAACACCTTGCTATAGGACAGGTTCCTTTGAGATTGTTAAAAACTTACTCCATCATAACGAAAGGGAGGAAAAATTAATCTTTTTAGCACAAATGGATTTTGTATTTGAAAAACGACTGTAGTCAGTGGTAAAATTGAAATTAGCACTCCTTATATCTGTGCAACATAACACCTTGCTATAGGACAGGTTCCTTTGAGATTGTTAAAAACTTACTCCATCATAACGAAAGGGAGGAAAAATTAATCTTTTTAGCACAAATGGATTTTGTATTTGAAAAACGACTGTAGTCAGTGGAGGGAGGTACCTTTCAGCAAAGAGTATGTGAGCAGTACATATACTAAAACAAAGCCCTGGAAATAGTGCTGAAATCGCAATGTGAATCATGATTACAGAAACATACATGCAGGTGGCAAAAGTATGTTTGTCAGATAGTAGCAGAGGAGATTGCAATGTCAGAATAACTTACAAGCTTTTTAACTGTCAGAAAAGAGTAGCTTTAAAATAACCTACCTGGGCCCTTTAAGAATCAGTAGTTTACATTTAAAACAAGTTTTGAATAATGTAGTAACTTGTTCTTTTACTTTTTTGTTTTACATAAGGAAGCATGTTTTCTCATTAGGTCTATAGATCATCTAAGATGCATCATTAATGCTCACGTTCAGCATGGTAAGTATGAAGCTATTATTAAAAATGATCTTTGAAATTGTAAAACAACAGAATAAATGGCTTTGTTGACTAGTATAAATGTATGCAGTTCGTAGTAGTGATGGCCATTTTTGTCTAAAAAACCAAAAACCCAAACAACCCTAAAACTTTCTGCTGACATTCAAGTTTTTGTTTTTCATGTGAAAACTGAGTTTCCGTCAGAATGGTGAAAATAAGCTGGTTAGATAAAGTGAATGTGTTTAACTAAAAACATTTAAAAATAAAATTGCTTTGAAACTGTTTTTTTTATTTGTATTTAAGTAGTGGCACATGCTTCTTGCAGTCAATTACTTTTCATGCATTTCATGCATTTCTTGATCCTCTGTTTTAGTGAATGTGATGACAACTGTCTTTTTTTTGTAGACTATTTATGTATGCAAATAAGGTGCACTCTGCCTAAAGCACTAGACTGAAACCTGCATGCTTACCACCAAAGTTTCTGTGTACCTACAATGTTTAACCCAGTCTGCTTAATATAATAATTTTAACGAATGATTCATTGCACTTCTGACTGTATTTGATCACCAAGGTAGTCTCCTCCTGAGAAATCTGAAATCTAAAGTCCAAGTATAAAGCAGTGGGGATAACCCCCAATTCCTTTTTGTTTCATTCACCACCTTTTTTTAAATTCCCCACCTGTTAAAGGAACTTTGGCCCATGGCTTTTCACTCCATACTTGTAAGATCCTGGAGTTTACAAGTTTGTGATTGTTCTAGGTATCGCTCTGATGATGTGGAATACATTCATAGTAAAAAGGCTTTCTTCTGCTACGTATCTAATGGACAAGGTGAGTACAGTATTGTGACAGTATTTTTGAGGCGACTTTTTATTATTAACTGAAAAGTGAAACTAGTATTTTTAAACCATCCTTTTTTTGGTTTGTTTTTTTTTTTTTAAAGTTTGGAATATTTTTGATTTAAGCATCAAAAAACCCCTGCTTATTTGGTTTATTACATAGCTAACTTTTGGAATTGAAGGAATGTATATTTTAAAATATCAAATCCATGGAACGATCAACGATAGGCAGCTTTAAGTAATAGCTGATCAGCACTGGCTGATGTGTGCTGAAGACTTACGTGCAGTGTTAGCTTGTAGTTGCTAAATAAAATATTTGTGAAACATTTTGAAACTATATATATGTGCGTATATAAAATTTTAAGTTAGAAAACAATAAATAACTTAAAGTATTTTCTCTGTGCCTGTTCCCTGGTAAGTTATTGCCATGAAACTTTCAGGTTCCCACAAGCAGCAGCTTTTCCTAATGTTGTGGTCCAAGTTTTGCAAAATGCAGAACGTTCTGTGGATGTTGTCGAGCATTTTTTAACCATCGCTGCCATTGTAAATCAGCTTCTGTCCTAGTATGCAGCTTGTTTGCCATGAGTTTTAGCAGTCTCTTGTCCCTGCTAAACTTCAATTTTTTTCATACTTATAAATATGCAGTGGATCTGTTTACTGGAAGACAATTCTGTTTAGGACTGGAAGACAGTTTAGGAAGAGTACTGCCAGTAAGTGATAGATCTGTTTAAATTGCGTAAGGGGAATCTGCCTATTGGTTTGCCGGCTGTAGAGCAGCAGCTAAGTGTTTTCCAGCATAAAAGTCCAGATGCAAAGAGAGAAGTGTTGATGGTGATTTAAAAACAAAAAAACGCAAACAAAAACCAACATAAAACCCACAAGAATTTGCTGTCTCATCTTCTTTTTTCCTTCTCCTCTGCTCCTCTCATTTCCTGCTTTTGCTTTTTGTTTAGCTCTGTAACAATTGGAGAATATAATCTTCCTTGTTCCTTTCAGCACATAGGCTCACTTGTATACAGGTGTAGTAGGTGTTTCTTCTGCAAAAACTCTTTTCCAGTTTTTCTGCATACCTTTATGTAAGTCCACCATCATTACTTCTGCCTAGATTAACACCCGCAGGAGAAGAGATAAAGGTTTTTATTTGCTAACTGTTTTTGCACACATCTGTTACCTCAGACAAATACCATGTAGTAACAAATGTTGCTAACTTTTAATAGTTATTTATGTATGTTTGAAAGCTGGGAATTAGTCCTCAGGGTTTGTGTTATAGAAGCAGTAGCACAACTGATCTCTCACCAACTTCAGAAAAATACAGTTTCCAAATCTGTTGGCACTTAATTGGTCCCAAAATTGACAGCTGAAAGTTGTCTTGAATTCAGACTTCGAAACAGCATGATGGATCACTTGAATTCGAGTTTAATAATCCCATAATTTAGGACCCTGGAATCTCACTTCAGCTGTTGTTTAGACTCTGCCATGATGTTGTAATCACTACTTACTTTTTTTGTGCTATGGAAGAGAGAACTTCCAGTGATGTGTATGTGCTTCATCATGTGCAGCATGTGACTCAACTTGTAGAAATTGGACCTCATAGTAATGTTCCTAAACAGGATATGATTGAGGTGTCTCTTCTGAAGAATTCAGATAGGCAAAGCATGGAAACCATGTAATAACTTTCTTATTAGACCTTCTCCATCTCCATGAATATGCTGGAGCATTCACTCTTCCTTTCCTCTTCCCTTGTTCCCCAGTGTTTGTTTCTAATATCATGCTTGGTATTGTAGCTCTAGTTCTGTATTGTAGAAATCACTGGGAATTTTTTAGCTGCCTTTGAGATTTGAATGAGGAGCTTGGGGTCTTATTTCTCATCCTAGGCTTCTAAGAAGGATGAACTAAATATGGGCATCAGTGATGTTCATTTCTGAGTTGTATGATCTGTATCAATCCTTTGTTGAAAGCAAGCTGTGCAATGTGTTGCATTATGTAGCTGTAACGAACTATTTCCTCATTTTGTGTTAGGAAAATAGTAATAAAAAGTTAAAATATGGGGTAACAGGTACCTTATGATGAAAATTATTTAATTGTGCTGAAATATTTTTTTTAAAACAGGTTGGAAAAGCTCCAAAGGACAGATTATGCAGACGGGCAAGTAATACTACTTTTGTCTAAATGGGAAGAAATAAATAAAAATGCCTTAATTTTAATACTAGTTTGTGATTTATTTTTGAGAGTTTCAGAAAAATTCAAAATGCAGCCCTAGAGAAAATGTTATGAATTTTAAGCAATGTAAATTAATCTTTATCTGACAAAGCAAATTAGAACAGTAGTATGACTTCAAATATTATAGAGGGTAGACTTGAGACTATAACATGACAAATTACTATTATTTTTCATGCGTAATTTCATTAGCTAAAACTTTTTTGGAGGACAACTGATATGCTCAGAAAATGAAATTTACTAGATGTGATTACTTGAGGAATTCAGTCTTCTTTAGAGATACAGTATTGTAAATGGCTACATTTAGCTTTATTCCTATTTTTTTCCCTGTTATTTCTAATTCTTTGTTGTACTTCAGTGAATATTTGTTTACCTTTAAATGTAATAGGTTAATAAACTGAGCTGAACGATGTGTTTTATGTCAACAACTGTCTTCTCAAACATTCAGCGCTAATAAAAGCCCATTTCAATTCCAGTTGAAACAATTTAAATCATACTGTTTGTTAACAGGACGTAGGTATGGGTGACACGGCAATGACAGCTTTTCTTGGTTGCTGTTCAGATCTTCTGCAAACATTGCTAGAGGTAAACTTTTATTTTTCCCATAGAAAGTAAGGAGCTAATTGATTCAAATTTAATTTTAAAGAATATGGTTATACTAATTTCTGTACCATTCAGTTCAGACAAATATTAATGAACTTCCAGACAATATGAAATTTTCTTTTTAATTTCACTGCAGAGAACTTGTGATTAAAGCCGTGTCTTTTGCATAGAAGGCCAATACAGATGACACTTGGTGTGTGACTACTGTTCTGTGTTGCTCTGGCAGGCTGATGTTAGTAGCGATGAAATGCAGGCCCCCGTCTTAGACACTGAAGATGCTTGGGTGTCGGTAGAAGGACCAGTATCGATAGTAGAACTAGCCCTTGAGCAGAAACGCATTCACTACCCACTTGTCGAACACCAGTTTGTGTTATGTACTACCCTGTACGCCATCATGAGGTTTTCTCTGAAGAGTGTGAAGCCTCTTTCGCTGTTTGATAGCAAGGTATGTCTTTTGAAAGCATACATCTTCGCATTGCTATCCTTCCTCTTGGTATCTATAATATATGCTAGCTTTCACTCTTTAAACAGTTCGTGCATAATTTTATGAAAAACATTTAGTCCACTGTGGTGCAGTAATGAAGTTGTCACCAGAATTCAGGCTGAGACCCAAACTTGGTGCTTTTCCTTATGAATAAAAGATTTGTAGTGACCGCAGGTGCATGAAAGTCAGCTCCTTAATAATTAGCTGGCCTAAAAATACTGCATGGTAAGAACACTGGATGACAGGTTTTTCTAGTTCCTTTGAGAAAACATAAATATTTAAGGTCAGAAATGTTATATTAGTGTCACTGTTGTATCCATTATTGTTGATGATTAGTCCAGAATTCTGAGCATCTCAAAGAGAATAAACAGCTTGTCATTTAAGGCATATAAACCACTTAAAAAAAAAAAAAAAAGTCACTGCATTTAAAATGTAGTATATCTCCAGTCAGCAATCAAAGCTTGACCCTGATACAAAGCAGGTACCACAAATTGAGCTTTTCTCCTCCTAGCTTTACCACACTACAATTCTAAAAAAATTTAGAATTGTAATTCTAAATTCTACGCAAAGTACTGTTGTA